GTGTCCATGTTCGCCTGCAATTAATATTGTCATGAAGCTTATGTTTAAGAGATACTCCCCGGTCCCTTCTATTCTAATTATATGGCAAAATTAAACGATTTTACGTTTTTTTTAAAAGGATGGTTAATATTCTTAAGCTTGTTAAAAAAAATGTTTGACTAATCATTTTGGTTCTTCAAAAAAATTAATAACCACGATAAATAAATGTGTTTAAAAATTACAATTTGGTGCAATTAATGAAAGACAATATTTTAAAAAAATTAATTACTACCTTTTTACCCCATATTTAGAACTAAATAGGGTTGCAAAATTTTGTCGTGTAATTGGAATCTACACCACTGGTAAGGATTCATTTGCATGTTTTGGCCATCACTCTGTTGAGAAAAAGGACGAAAAGTTAGAACTAAATGCCACAAAGAAAAAAATATATACGTAGCGACAAAAAGAAAAGGAGAACATGGATGAATGGGCAAAATGAAATATTGTGCTTACAAAATCAAGTATTTTCAATGGATAAGGGTCTTTTCATGTAGATTTTGATGTACCAACTCTGACACTAGTGATATGTTGATATTCTTTGACGTATTATATCAATAGTCTCTCCATGCACAGCTATATGAAAGAATGCATGTCAAAATCACTAATTGATGATTGCTTGATGAAGAATCAAGACAGTCATGATTTCTAATTAAAGTGGTATACTATTATAGAGAAAGTTAATCGCAATGCTTTTGAATGAAGCTTCTATTTTTGGCCAAAAAAAAATGAAGCTTCTATTAAATTTAAATATGACTATTTTTAAGTGATTATATGATTAGATATAGATTATTTATATGAATGTACAAATTCATGTACATTTATTATATGCATGCCTAAAAAATATGACGGTGATGATGATATAAATAATTGTAGGCATGTTCATTTTCCTGACTTTATGAACAATGATACTGTACTTTCAATTAATATATATATTCATGAATAGTTATATTGCTGAGAAGGAAAATATGCAAAAAGGAGGAGGAGGAAGAATAGGGGATAGAGCGAGAGAGGAGGAAGAAAATGAAGAAATATGATACAGATGGATAAATAGATTATCAGATCACGTGGGGACATGGGGTCATGGAGTGAAAGGGCAAGGGTAAAGGCAAGGGTAAGGTGGGATATTGGTGAGAAGGTTCACATGCGTTAGGTTGCATGGTTGGTGGTGTGCGGTTGAACGGTGGGAGCATGGATGTGGTGACGTGGAAGATTTGGGGGATCTGGTTGGTCGGTGAATGGGGGTCACTTTTGGGGGACGAGAGGCTTACGTGTCACTCTGACCAACGCCCACCCTTGCACTTCACTGTTCATTCAACTTGCACCAAGCCGTTTGCCCTTGAATGATCACACGCGCAGACACTCATCACTTACCCTTCATCGCTCCCTAGCTGAGTATCAAAGCTACTACTCCAACAAGCCCCCTCGTTGACACGTGTTGTCATCACATCCGACTCCTTTTTTTTATTTCATAATTATTGGAAAAACAAATTCCATATATATTTATTAGGAGCAACATGCAACAAAGACGTGTATATGTATACTGCATAACTTCATCAGTTCTTATGTTCAAACACTAGGGATGAGAATTGGTCATTGATTCAGGTTTTCATCTCAGGAGATTAACTTGGATTCATCTAGAGTGTGAGATATACGAATCTTTTTAACTACTGATATTACGAGTCTCCTTTCCCTTTTAACATCATACTGTTTGATGTTCTTTTGATTAATTGGATTCATAGTCTTTCCTTTAGGCGTGTACTGTGATCTTAATTTGATTTCATTTGTTTGGTCGCGTATTTGGTTTGTTAATCCTGTTATATGACCGAAATAAATAAATAAATAAACCACTTGCTAGTGTCAGGTAATGTATATTTATTTTAAACTTAACAAAAGAATGGCATGAACTTATAAATAAAAATAAAGGATATGATTTAAAAAAAAAAATGCAAAGGAAGGGGAAAGAGAGAGAGAGAGAATTCTCGGCCTATGAGATTTTTTTATTTTTTATTTTCTGAGTAAAAAAAAAAAAAGAAAAGGTATGAGCAAAAGGCCCAATCGGGTTCGAACCGGTGACCTCTTGATCTACAGTCAAATGCTCTACCACTGAGCTATGGAACCCACTAGTGGTTAATGATACTAGCCATAATATTTAATATTTTCTGTATGGGGGCAATTATTAACAATAAGGAGGAACAAAAGGAGAAAGTATGCGGCGACATCGCACATGGGTTTAGGGCTTGATGTGACAACAAACCAACGCCTAGTAGTTCGCATCGCTTCCGTGCTATTTTTTGCTTTCTCACATTTAATTTTATTTTATAATTTTATCATTCTTCTCTTCGCCTCCTGGCTGCTTCATGGGCTTCATCTCCTCATTTATTGCCCCTTTTCCATTTCTCATAACAAACCCGGCACACAAAATCTCCTTATAAGCTTCCACTTTCACTCATACACAGTACTTCCCTGGTTTCATGTCATTGTCATTTGGATCATTTAATTCCATTTGGAAAAATCAGCATGCATCTATTAAAATTCAACATATTCTAAATGTTACTTGGGAAATCGATAGTTAAAAATGTGTAGCGTTTCACCACGTATATTTGAAGCGCGGAACTTTTGTGATGCCCTTCTACTGGTTGAAAATTGAAAATTTAGAAAAGAAAAAGGTAAAAGAAAGAAAAGTAGGGTGAAATGGATAAGATGAGACTTTTTGATCGTGCAGGCCGCGCATGGAATTACAGCGCAGTAAAAGCGAAGGCGGATTGAGGACGCACGAGGCTCGAGGTGGACCCCACTTACGTTAAAAAGGCCCATTACCATTTATGCCGGGCCTCCAACTCGACTCCAAAGATCTCCTGCACGCAGGCGCTGCTCTAGTCATCAGGGACTCTGGTGTGGTCCCACAATATGTCACCACTGCGTCTTCTTCTTCTTCCTAAAATTATTTAAAAAATAATAATCATTTATGTATTTTCCTACAATTTTGACTCCCTCATAATATAACTAAGTACAATTTATTTTTTTTTATAATTTATAGTTGTAATTCAGTACTCTAAATTTGATTTATTATAATTTAATTTTATATTTTTAATAATTTTAAACAGTAGTCTCTATGTTTTAAAAGATAATAATTTTATTTTTAAAATATAAAAACTAATGTTTTACATGATTTAAAATCATGGATTGAGTTATATTAAGTTAAAATTTAAAATTAAATTACTGCAAAGTCAACATTATAAGTAAAGTACTAAATTATATTAGGTTAAAATTTAGGAATTGAATTGTATCAAAAAAATTTAGGAGTTAAATTATAATGAATTTATCAGGTTAAAATTTAGGAATTGAATTGCATCAAAAAAATTTAGGAGTTAAATTATATTGAAGTCAAAATTAAAAGAACTCAATAATTAGAGTAATTTCCCCCAAGTTCAACATTCCTTGGGTGCTTGACTTGTTGTCCCGCTTCCCTCCATGTGTAGCTTCAAATTAGCTTGTAGTAAACCTGGCCAATTTCTTTCTCTATATACCAACTGCATTCTATAAATTTCTGTTAAAAGAGATATATATCATAGAAAGGGGAAAAAGAACAGTAGGAAGGCTTGGAAAATAACAATGCAACAAATAATTTAAGTGACGGGGAAGGATGAGGGGATATTTCTACCAAATTGGAACGAGTCTATGGGGGAGAAAAAAGCATTTTTTAAAAATAGGAATAATTAAGATACTAATGAGAAAGATGCATGGGTTGGGAGATGATGTGAAATGTGGTGAAGTTGAGATGGTATGTTCATATTCACGGTAACAAGTCCCGTGCCTCATCCACATGCTTCTCATTTCCTGTGTCCATCCATTGATGTCCCCAGTCCGTCTCTCATTTCTTTCCCTCCATGCATGTTCCCCCCACATTTCCTGTTTAGGCGTAAATTATATGCAGCTCAAGTATATTTCTGATAAAACAAAGTCACCAATTCCGTGTTCAAGTTTGAAACTCTGTTTCAGTTAATCTGATAAAAATAGATCATTACAATGCATCCCCAAAACCATGACTTTTGAAAAAAAAAAAAAACAAATACAGGAGGAAGTAAATAAAAAAATGAACTATAGTTTGATCGATTAATGAGGTCAGTGAATAGAATTTTATCGGTGGAAAGATTCACACTGAGAAGCTGCTTCTAAATAAACTAATAACACTAACTTCTATAGTTGCATTAAAAAGGCAGGATAAATAGAAATAGATGCAAGTTTGACATTTATCAAAATTCATCCAATGGGATGGTCAACTTTACTTGCCTTAAATTTATTTTGGGACGAATGGGTAAGAAACAACTGACAATAAAAAACATAAATGGCACACTAACATGATTAGGTTTAGTAAAAGAGATAATCTCTCCCAATATGACGCATTCAGGTTTGAATTATCATTAATAAAAGTGTTCACGTTTAATGTTAGTTCATCCATTGAATATGATTGGTTTTAATAAAAATAAAAAGATACTGTGCATAATAAAAAACATTAATGATACATGCTCCAATCTGCAAGTCTTCTATTAATTCCTATAAATAATTAAAGATTTATAAGAAGTTAATAAAACATTATACACGCAACAACGCCAACTAGTAGTAGTGCTCCAAACAGGAAAATATAGCTCTTTTTTTCTGACCGAGCAGGAAGAGATAGCTGTACGCACTGAAAAAAAAAAAAAAAAATATATATATATATATATTAGTATTAGTAGTTATATTAAAAATACAAGAGATGAGATGTATTTAAAGAAAAAGTACAAAAGATGAGAGTGAGAGAGAGAGAGAGGGGAAGGCATTATTGACCAATTGGTAATTAGAGTGTAATTAAATTGATAGTTAGTTAGTAACGGACCTCTTCACTTGATTCCCCCGCTCGTCCCCCCCATAAGTACCCCTCGCCCACTCCTCTCTCCTCCACTCCTCTCCTCTCTCTCTCTCTCTCTCTCTCTCTCTCTCTCTCTCTCTCTGTTTCTCTCTTTCTGTGCAATGGCTTCCATAATGCCCCTCCTCTGCATTCTCTCTCTTGCCTCGCTGCTTCTCCCAACCTCTGCTCGAATCCCCGGAGTTTACTCCGGCGGCCCCTGGCAGTCCGCTCACGCCACCTTCTACGGCGGCAGCGACGCTTCCGGAACTATGGGTATGCCTTCTCATTACTTCTTCCTCTATTCAAATCATCTTCACCTTCCTCCATTTTCAATTTCCCATGCATTTCTGTTTCTTTAAGCCCTTCCTGGTCCCTCCTCCTTTTATCCCTACTTCCAAATTCAAACTCACGCGAATTATTTCCCCCACTTTCTTCTATTTCCCACTTTACGAATCTGGAAAACATGCTGTTTATTCATACTTATCCTTTCCAAATCCTCACTGTTTCCATCCCCTCTCCCATATTTTCCCTTTTAATCAGAATGCACTACACGACAAAACCGTCACCTCCGATTCTTTCCCATTTATAATCTTGAAAAGCATTAAGTTAATTTCTATCGTTTAGCTGAATTAAGTTTTCTGAAACGGTTGTGTAATGGGCATTTTTCAGGTGGTGCTTGTGGCTATGGAAATCTGTATAGCCAAGGGTACGGGGTGAACACGGCGGCTTTAAGCACGGCTCTGTTCAACAATGGGCTGAGCTGCGGCGCGTGCTTCGAGATCAAGTGCGACCAAGACCCTAAATGGTGCAACCCTGGAAGCCCCTCCATCATCGTCACTGCCACCAACTTCTGTCCTCCCAACTTCGCTCTTCCGAGCGACAATGGCGGATGGTGTAACCCCCCACGCCCCCACTTTGACCTCGCCATGCCCATGTTCCTCAAGATCGCTCAATACCGTGCCGGAATCGTCCCCGTTAACTACCGCCGGTGAGTTACTCTTCTCATCCCAAATTATACCTGGTCTCAGTTTGGGTTGTGTGTATTACTCTAGTAGTCAAAAGTGTCCAATTCCCACCACAGGTATCCCCTACGGTTATGAAATCCCAATTTTCTGACCTGGGCTACTCTCTGAATTGTGTCACTGTTTTCATCTGGGTATTGATTTGCAAGTCTCCTGCAACCATGAAATTTGCGTTTCTGAGCAGGGTCACTTCTGTCATCTCGTAGCTTAATGTTTGGATGTCTGTAAATCATTGAACCCACATTGTCCTTTGCAGTTATGAAAATTGCATAACCAGGGATGAATTTATTGCCATTTCCGAGATCCAGGTCCCCTGCCGAACGCAGATTAGAGCCGGAAACTGTTGTCCAAAACATTGCAAAGTCCAAAATATCCTCGTCTCGTTTTGTGCTCCCGAGGGTGTTATAGTCCTAAGGGGTCATATTTCGTATTTCCTCCTTCCTTCGAGGGTAATATAATAAAGTAAACGGACCATTATGGGAGGAACAAAGATTTTGCCGGAAAATCAGGATAGGGTCTTTCCCGTGCTTCGGAAAGTCAGGGGAAACATCTTACGGTGCTTCACGCCCATGTTGGGTCAGGCATCAGACCAAAAAGCCACTGTTGTTTAGCGCTGTAAAATTTTAAAAAAGACCAAAAAAAAAATTACCAAGTGATTTTTTTTTTTTTTGGGTGTGTGAATGCAGGGTGGCATGCAGGAAGGTGGGGGGAACAAGGTTCACGATCAACGGATTCCGTTACTTCAACTTGGTTCTGATCACCAACGTGGCGGGTGCAGGGGATATCGTGAGGGTGAGCGTGAAGGGAAGCAAGACGAACTGGATGAGCATGAGCCGCAACTGGGGGCAAAATTGGCAATCCAACGCCGTGCTGGTGGGGCAGGCCCTCTCCTTTAGGATCACCGGCAGTGATAGACGCACCTCCACATCCTGGAACGTGGCGCCTCCTAATTGGCAGTTCGGCCAAACCTTCACCGGAAAGAATTTCCGCGTCTGAAATTTCATTTTCACTTTCCCGCCGAAGACTTCCCTTTATTTTCCCGGGAATGTTTTTGAAGCCCTGGCGACTCAAACTCAGATAGCGTCAAAAGTAAGACTAGATAGGAAAAAGTGGGAGTGACTTTTACATATTATTATAGTATTATTGTGAGCCAATATGTGTGAAGTGTGATTATGAATGTGGCATTTAACTTCTTTTTTATTTTTTTGGGTTAGCAAGTGTTTAAAAGTGTAATTGCTGGTTTATATTAATTAATCACCCAGCAGTGATGTGAGTGAGATTGTTGAATGAGTGTGGAAGAGGGCTGGGCTGGGCTGAGGTGGCTGCAAAAGAAGGTGCATGTGGCCCGCAGCCTGCTGCCTACATTAAAGTTAAATGCTACTATTATCAGTGTCATTTCCGTAAAATATATGCCTATTTCTGTTTTCATTGTTTTCACCTTTACTGATTTATTTATCAAGTTATATCCAGTAACAAACTAGCAAACCACGGTGGAAAAAAGAGTTGCAACTTAGTCATTTTCACATTGAAATGTAACAAAACAAGGTCTAACGAGATGATTCACAACAATACTTCTAACGTGTCGGTTGTCACAGATCTCTAATAAAATTAAATATGATATGCCTTGTCGGATGTTATGTTAGTCTAGTTTTCGTGTGTATCCGCGACACCACAACCTTCAATAAAGTAATAATACTTGCAAACAAATCGGTTAAAAATTTGACTAAATCTATAGAAAGGCATAATTTTCATAGTTCATATATTATTAACAATATAACTTACCTGGGACTTTTTGACCGAAAGAGCTCACCCAAGACTTAAATCTGTTCATGTTTATACTTTAATTTTCAGCACATACTTATTCATAAAGCTCATACAATGTCTATATTGTTAATGAAAAGTCATTGCTTATTAATTGTAATTAGAAAATATGATAAGAACTATGTATATATATATATATCTAAACAAATGCGGCGGCTGAAGTGTAGGCCCAGCGTTAGATTTGCCTTTCGCTACCGATGACCCGAGTAGGCTTTTTTATTACTTCATTCTACATTCATATCGACTTCATCACATTACCAATTTTAAAAGATATAACTGATGGTATACACAGACACAGTTCGCACAATAAATACCAAAATAAATCACAAAGATATTTACGAAGTTCTGAAAATATTTGCAAGGGTCAAACGTAAGTTAACGAAAGAATAAATAAAAGATCTCCAATTGACCAGGTGGTGGGGTTTGATGATGGTAAAGAAAAATCAGAGAGAATTGATCCCTTGGAAAGACTCAGATAAGTTGGCCCATCTGAAAGCATTAGGAATGAAACATGCTGCAGAAGGAATACAATCTCTGTATTGCGTATTTGATTCTTCTTTTACGGCTAGATCTAACCTCTTACACCTTCCATGCTGTTCCAAAATGCATAAAGGTACACGTCGTATGTACTGTGTCTGTGGAGTCCAAGTCTAAAAAGCAGAACAAATAACAATAGCGTTTAAAATCATAGTCATGAGAATGTGTTAGAGAAGGATTTTTAATAGTGCCTCCGTCAGTGGAATCTCCTTTAGAATATTGACTCTAAAAATTAAACTTCAATCACCAACCATTTGTTCCCGTTGACCTGAAATGATACGATACTTTGTTACACGTAATTTCATTAGCTACTTGAAGAACATTTTGCCACTTATTTCACTTTTATAAAAAAGGATTAAAAAAATTTAAGCATCATGAAATGCAAATTTTGGGAAAAAAATTGTTTGAATAATATTTCTTTGATTCTATTTATAAATCACTTATAATATGTTTTATTAAATTAAAGAAAATTTTAAAATTCATTAATTCAATAAGTTTCCAGCTTTATTCTTTTAAATATACATGTTTTAATAATATACTTTTTTTTCAATATTTAATAGAAGGTAAAGGAAAAAATTTATGATAAAAATTTAATGATGTAACTTATAAATATGATTTTAAAAAAAAAACTTTTCTCCCTACCTTATAAGTAAGAGGGAAGGGAGAATGATCAAACATTCAAAAGATGAAGAAGACCTAAATGAAATGTGAAATGAAGGTGCATGTTGCATGGGTTGAATTGTATCATTAAAAGGGTGGGAATGTGATTGGCACAAGCAAATCCCTCTTCGCGATTTTGGTGGATTTGATTTGCATGTTGGTTGGTGAACAATTCCATGTTGACCATATCTTGTAAAGAGTCTGTCCGTTGATATGAATCCCCCAATTGTTATAAATAAAAGCAAAATTCTGTGGTGCCCCCTTTGCACATGCGTATCTTCCTCTCTTGTCTATTTTATAACCACCACTCACCTCCCTACCCTATTTATTTCATTTAAAATCACATTTATAGTAAATATAAACAGCCAAAACTTATTACTCTCTCCTTTAATATTATAAAATATTTTTTTAAATGTGATGTTTAAAAATATACTCTTTTCAAACCATAATATAAGATATATTCTAAATGCTTTATTTAATCTAAATTATAGGACATTAAATAGTTTTTATAATTATTTTTTTAACTATATCCTTACTTTATTTATCACTCTTTTAAAAAAATGATGTTTTAAAGTTTTAATTGTCATTATTAAAGAATTTATATAAAATATTTAGTGAGGGTATAATTGAAAAAATGTAAATTTTTTTAAAATATTAAGGTTTCACTTAACTTTTTTTAAAAAAATGTGAAATAGTCATTAATACCTTATATTGTGATCCTGAAGTAAGACATTTTTATTAATATAAGTACAATTAACAGGATTTTTTTCAAAAAATTCTCTTAACTAGAGGTGTAATTAATAAAATTATCATATAACTTATTAAATAAAGATAAATATAAAAAGAATGTAAAATTTTAAAAAGTACTAACTAATTTACTAAAAATATAAATTACTTAAAAGTAACATATAAAGTAATACTGAAAGGATGGAATGTCAAATAAGAACAAAACAATCCATCATTAACATGCATTTTATTACCCTTCTCATCTTTGATAACTCAACAGTGAATCCCATCTATGTAGAATCTTCCTTAAATCCAATGGCCCACACACCACAACAATTTTTATTCTTAAAAGATGGGCCCATGGTGCATGCAACTTCACCTGAAATTTTGGGAGAATTTCATTATAGGATCATGATAGGTGTATATTTTCCAATCACACCCAAATAATTATGAAATAACACTACATGTTGAAAAACTAAAATGAAATAAACTTTCATAATTAAATGATCAAAGTACCCTCAATTTAATGGGAAACAAGCAAAACCAGAGAGAAGTCGAGAAAAAATCACCTAGTTTGATAAGACTCTCATCCACAAAGAAAAGCTTTATATTCACATATCACAATGATTTTTCTATTATGGTTCAAGAAATTCACGAGCAAAACAAAATTGCTATTAAGATACTTCAAGGAGTTGAAGTACACAAATGTTGAGGCTCACACTAGGGATGTCAAAAATAGGGTTTCATGGTTTGGTGGTGAGGAAGACAATTAGTGTCATGATTGAAGATGTTGAGAATGGCATTAAATATGATATACAAAAACACAATAAACCATATTATGGGGTTAGTTCTTTGAGCTCTTGGCTGTCTTAATGTTTTTGTCAATAGTCTATTATACTGTTTTGTGACAAGATTTGGTGATTCTAATTTCACTCAACTTTGGTTTCTATATTATATTAATGCTGTGATTTGAACAATAAAATCTAGCACAATTATTGAAAGAGACCTTGTAAGCATGTTAACAAATAGAGTTGGATGATTGATAAGTTGTATAAGGGAATTTACAAATAGTTTTAGTTGAATCATAAGAGACTTAATGTTAATTTTTCAGGGCTATAAATATGGTGGAGAAGAAATAAGGATAGAAGAAACTAGAAAGAAAAAAAGAAAGAACAAGTAACAAGATTCAAAAAATAATAATAGAAAGTATAAGAGCTTGGTGAAGGTGTTGCACATTTATGATATTGAAGTTGTATGGTCAAGAACAATTGTAATTTGTGTTGTAAAAAACTTAATGTTATGTTGTATATACTATAATTCTAATTGTAAATTTATAAATTGGTCCTGTGTTGATAAAATAATTAAATTTAATATTTTAATGAGGCACATCTTAATATGATTGTAAAATTTCTAATATTAACCTTTAATTGTAAAATTTGTAGTATGACCTGTTAAATTCCTAATATGACTTGTTAATTACTTAATATGACTTATTGATTGCAATATAGTTCAAATCTTAACATCTTCATATAAAAGCTCATTCACTTCACAAACATGGATTTGGATATAAAAATCTTCACTCTGCCTACTCACATTCAAAGTGGACCACCACCCTGATCTATACAAAGTTTAGCTATATAAAGTCTAGACCTGCATTGCAATAAAGCATGACTGCTGTTCATTTTGCATATGAATGTAATCCAATTTAGATTTTTTGGTTGGTTGGAAAAACAACTCTTAGGTACATATGCACAACTCATATAGTTTTTTGTAAAAGGTTGTAATCTCTTTTGTACGTTTAAGTAGATGTTTCATTTCATGATAATACTTTATGAAATACTATCAAAAGTACCAATATAAAATGTTTTGTAATGTTCAATAATGTACTTGCCTTCAAATTAAATTAAAGCAGTAAATTCTCTTAACTTTTTTTGTAAGTTGTGAAATCTTACCTGTAAATTTTTTTAGTAAGATCAAAATGCTACTTGTGCAATATCCATCTTATGTAAAACTATTAATAATTTGTTAAATTACTAATGTCACTTGTAGAATATCTAATATTTTTTGCAAATTTTTTAATGTTGCATCAAGTCTGTAATGTTACTTATCAAATACTTGTGTAAATTCATATATGGCTTGTTAATTACTAATTTGACAAGTAAAACATCTTGTAAAGTCTAATAATGTGCTTGTATTCAAATTAATGTAATTCCCTTAGCTTCACTTATAAATTGTAAAATCTTACTCGAAAATTTCCTTAGGTAGCATTTGGAATGATAGATTATAATTTAAAATTTAATCTCACATTTGAAATTAATATATTTAAAATCTTTTGTTTGGGTAGTTTAAAAAATTTTAAATGAAGAAGAGACATAAATTAAGATTCAAAACAAAAATAAAAAGTTAAAAACGATAAATTTATTTCTATTTTTTAATCAAAAGAGATGAAAAGTATACAAAAATCATAAAGATATTAATAGTGAAAATACAAGGAGAATAAGATGTTTGAAGTGATTAAAATTTTAAATAATCAAAGTGTAGATGGAATATGAAATTACAAAAGAATTTTAATTTTAAATGGATTTATAATTTTTTCTATATCTAAATGAGAGGTTTAATTCAAAATTGCATGGTCCTAATTTGAAGATATATTGTTACAATGGTCCTATAATGAAATTATCCATGAAATTTTC